TGCTTCAGTGTTACCCAGCAGAAAAGAGCGGGTGGGGTAAGAGAGGTGAGTGGTGAGGAGGAGGAGGATGAAGGTTTCTGTGAGCACAGACAGTCAGATTTCAATGTCAAGCGTTTCGCTCTGCATGAGGAGGGGATCGGGGGAGGGACCATGCATGTAGCTGTTTTGTCCTCCCCCAGTCACACTTGTGTGTTAGAGGGCTGGTTGGTGGGCAGCGCTGGGCGAGGCGTTTGAGCGACGCGTGTTAAAGTGACACTCGGTTTAAAAAGTGTGGGGGAGGCGCTGCTGAGGCGTTCGAGTGGAGAAGAAGAAAACATCAGATCAACAACAACATGCTGTTAACTGGCTGGTTGTAAACATTAGTCCAACACGCATTAGTCGGGGGAGGTCAGGTGGCTGCGGCTCAAACAGTCTGAAGGATGTGGCACTTATAAAACACTGAGACATTCTGATCTCAGAAAATCATGCAAATATCTGATCTAAGTTTTCTTTTAACAGAAGCACAAAAACCATCTGTTTGGAGACCTAATAACTACGACTTACCGTCCTCATGAGACCAGATCTCATAACGACAACATCATGTACAGCAGACTACTGGTGCAGGAACTGGAGCCCTTCAGAACGTGCATGAGAATCATCGGGGTTTTAAGACTTCTTCAGTGCTGCAGTAACTCAGTGGTATTTGTGAGTACATCCAGTGGTACACAGCCAAAGCAAGCTTTCAACAGTTAGTTCAGTGTATGTAACGCTCCACCATGTAAAGAAATACAGAGTAACAACTGAGGCCGCGGCGGCAGCCACGGTGCTGCTCACTGTTAGCGGCAACATTTACTTCCTGTTTCTTTTAAGAGTTTATATCTGTTCTCATGAGCGAAGACTCAGTGTCTGATGTGACCAAAACACCGTGTTGAAAATGAGAACATTATTATATACAGGACCGATGATTAAAGCAGGCAGCGCAACATCTTCTCTTCTCCAACAGTGATGACTGATAACCCCTGTGACCTCTGACACGATCTTGAGCTCTGGAGACAAAGACTCCTCATTTGTTCTGAGGTGTCCAGTTCCTGCAGCAGTTATTGTACATGAGCTTGTAATTAAGAGAAAAGATGGTGTAGTCATGAGATAAGGTCTCTGGTTCTTGTTCTCTTGTCAGTGCAATGCACGTCTGTACATCTTAAAGCTAAGCACATAGACGTGTTCACATGCAGACACTGTTCTACAGCCTTAACATCTTGTGTTCAGCCAGATGACAGCGGAAACACTCACCCCTCTGTCTCGAGACTTGGCGTTGAACTTCACCGTCTTTAATCTCGCTCTCTCCTTCTTCTCAACCCTGTGGTCAAACAGGACACAGGTCAAAGGTCAGCAGACATCATGTTTTAGTGAAGATGACAGACGGTTCATCATGCACAAGGTGCTACGCTTTACCTACAAACCACTCATTTGCCTCCAGGAGCTTTTCTTTTCAATGAGGGAACCCTCGTCCTCTGCTCAGCTGTGTGCCCCCCCCACCCCCCACCCCCCGCCCTTGGCCCTCATGCAAACAGTGACCCAACATGGAAAAACACAGCAGAAAACCCAAGTGGAACAGACACAGTGTGGGATGGTCCAGGGTTTGAACAACAGTTCAGCGTACGACACCATCTCGACTCAAAAACAGGAAAACCCCAAAAACCCTTAAACAGAAACGAGGTGGGTGAAACCTGATGAGGAGGGCGCCCCCCAAACAGCAGTGTTAGTTTACAGGCAGCTGTGTGTCTTGTGTGTATGTGTGTGTGTGTGTGTGAGACTGACCGTCTCTTGCTGGGGATGACCCCCACCTCCTCCACCTCCCCCTGTGCCGTCAGCTGCCTGGCCTGCCACCACTCATCATCAGAGGCGTTCACCACGTGCAGAATGTCTCCGAACTTGAAGTTGAGTCCCTGACTGGGCAGACCAGAATCTCTGGTCTTATCGTAATCAAACAGGGCTCTGCAACACAAACACACAAACACAGACACACACACACACACACACATATGGCGTGAAGCGAGCCACTAACAGACCGACAGGTTTCACAAGCTCATCTTAGAGTTCCGTTCATTTTCAAGTGAACCAACCAGAACCTGGAGATCACTAACCACAGCTCATGGTAAGATAATGTTTAATTTATTTATGATAAATGCATTACAGCAGGATTTATTTTTGAATCAATATAAATGTTTGCTGTGCGTTTTCATTCAGGAAGATGACTGAAACTGTTTTGAAATGAAGTAATTTCTTAAAAAATAAGTTTAAGTGAATAAGTATACAAATACCTTGTTTGGTTAATTTGCCCTGATATTTGCAGCTCACTGAAACAATTTTGGAATTATCCTTTAAAATAAATTCAGATTAATCTAATTATTTATTGATAATATTTTCTTAATTTTATTATTGTTTGTTTACTGGTACTTGCAGCTCAAAGAAATTAATGCCCTTAATACTTTTAATTGAATGATTTTGAAATTATTTCACATGTAATTAAATTTATTTAATTACATTATTTAAAATCCATATTTTTAAATACAAAAAAAAATTATTCCAGCCTGGTGAGGCCCCATATTATTTAGTTTTTCTCCCTTAGTTGTAACATTTTCTGATGAACTGCTGAAATGACAAATGTAATGAATTATTTAAACCTAGAACTTACAGAGCTTTGTCTTCAGCTCCTGTGGTACTAAAAACCACAGACAACAATATAACAGTCTTGACAATAAAAGCATTTGTTTGGCCTGAACCTGAATTCTTCTTCCTACTGCCCATTTTGAAGCCTGTTCAACAGGCGCGTCTTCCAGGTGCGCCGCTGTCTCACCTGACGTAGAGCGACCTCTTCTGACTCGTGCGCAGAGACCCAGATCCAGAACTGATGCTGCTGTTCATCATCTGCTCTCTCAGGTCATGGATCTTCGCCTCAAACCGGCTGTACTCTGAACAGGAACACACACTTCAGAGTTCATCCAGGCCGATGCTGACACGCTCCCTGGTGTCGAGCGTTCCCTTTTGTAAATTTGGTTAATGATTTATGTCCCTGCACCTGTACGTGATGCTGTCAACATAAACTGGTTTGTCCCTCTAAAAAAAAAATAAGCCACACTGCTGATTTGAGTAAAAGCCTCCTTTAACAGAACAACCACCAGCATCTCATCACCGAGAGTCAGAGCAGCAGTTTCCCACTAGACTCTCCACATTTAAAATTCTAGTCTACAGCAACAAATCCTGAGCTCCTAACCCCAGAACATTTTAACTTCAGGAAAAGGTCTGATTAAAAGCCTAAAATCAGCTAAAAGCTACAAACATGATCCCAGAACATTTCATCATCCTCCACTGAACAGAGCTCAAGTTCAGCGAGGACACTTCACTCTAAATTCATAAATGCTGGGCATTTCATAGCACTTCATCACAGGAAGTGGCTTTATAAATTCCAGGCTCCCTCAGTTTTCCACGGAATTCCCAGCAGACCCTCCAGGAACATGCGGTCACACTGATTAACTCAATTACCCCTGAATTATTTCTGACAACTGCAACCTTCTCTAGGAGGAGATCAGAAACTCCTGACAGAGCAGCAGCTTTAAACCACGCTCTGATTCTGCTGTAGAAATATTTTGGTGTGGACATCGGGTGCGTGCACAATGTCCTTGGACATTTGTCCCAGGTCCCTCCCCTCCCTGTCTCCTGTCCCCCTCTCTACAACCGTCTGATACTGTCATGTGACTGGCCCTGTAGGTGTGTCCAGGTGACTCACCCTCCGGTCTGTAGTGGGCGATGATGGTCACCGTCTGCCCAGCGTTCTTCAGGGCGGCGGCGGCTTGTTCGTGGGTGGCGTTACGGAGGTCCACCCCGTTCACCTGAGAACAGCAACACATGGCCGAAAGTGTTACACACCGGCTGCATTTTGTTGTTGTGTGAGTAAGCCAAAGGATTAGTCACTACGTCACAATGCAAAGACCACTTACTTAATGCTAGCAACATAACATGTTCCAGTCTGACACCCTACAGTCATGCCCCGCTGCAGTGTGGGTAATGTAGGCGGAAGGTTTCACCAAAGTGTGGAATAAACACAAACGTCTCTGGTTCTGCTGCAGCAAGATGGTTGCTTTTTGTTTCTAGCTGTGAGTGTGACAGTGTTGGAGGAGCGCTGAGTCAGTAAGAACTGCTAATGTGACGGGGAACCTGCAGCAGACAAACCTTGTTGTGCTTTACACGAACCACCAGGCTGTTTTTCATGTGTATCAAGGTCAGTACCAACAGACCAGCACGTCTGCTCAGCATCATGAACTGCTTTTCCAGTCAGGAGACAAACAGTACATGTCTCAGCTGAACAGGTGGTACTGACTACCCACTACTGGAGCGGCACATCACTATGTTCTAAAACAAAAGCTTCTAAACTGGAGCAAACGGCTCGGTCAATTTTTTCAAGGCTGAGGTGAGTCTGATAATCACCAGCTGGACACATTTTACCAGCGGAGTGTTAATCAAGTTAACTTTGTTTAAAGGTAGAAACTGATTGACTTGTCATGTTCCCTCAGGGAAACCATGTGTCTCTACATGTGTCGAACGTGAGTGTGTACGTACAGACACGAGTCTGTCTCCTTTCCTCAGCTCTCCAGAGAGGTCGGCTGGTCCTCCGGCAAGGATGAAGGAGATGAAGATGCCCTCTCCATCCTCCCCGCCCACAATGTTGAAGCCCAGTCCTGTGGCTCCTCTGTGCAGCACCACCTTCCTGGGCTCCCTGTGGAGACGCAGTAGCTGTCAGTCACCCTAACGTCAGTTGTTTCACACTTCCTGAGCAACAGTTTCCTTTGTGCACATGCTGCTTTGGTGTTGGTCATGTGACAGCTAAAGCTCGCTCTGTTCTGACTGTTGGTGAAAACATGATGGAAAAAAGACTACAAACACTAAATCAGAAACAAGTCCAGGTTACTCAAACTGTAATGATGCACCATTTGTGCCACTGATTGTCCAACAACTCGAATGTGGGAGTGTGAAAGTTTTCCTGCTGCAGTGTGAAAATTAGATTCCAATTCAGGGTTTCACAACAACTAAACCTTCTCTTCCTTGCTGTGTTGCTTGCCGTGGTTCACGGTGGACGGTGGGGTCTACTGTGGACAGTGAGGTCCACAAATAGAGTAAAACAAGATGAAATACACATTAGTGAGGTCTGGCTGATGCCTACAGGAAAACCCACCAGGCCACAAGAGTGTATGTGCCTCAGTGCAGGAGTGGTGTGTGTGTGTGAGAGACTGCAGGTGTCCACCAGCTGACGACGACATCAACATCCAAACTCATTAAGCTCTGAGACTTTAATAGGGATTCCTACCAGGAGGACGAGCATAATGTCCTTCCCTGCAGGATTCAACAATAGTGTCAACCCTCACACAGTGTGTAGGGAGGTGTTTTCATCCTCACCGGGTGACATCGTCATCTCCCAGCATGCCCTTCGAGGTCGGGGAGTAGCGTCCTGAGGAGGCTGGCGGGGGAAGGGACTGGCCGAGGAAGTTGGGGGGGCTGATATGGTTCTCCATGTGCTGGGAGTACGCTGGAACGGACACACAGAGGGCTGAGGTAAAACATCACATGTAGCTGGTCAGAAAAGTAAACACAGAAGAAAACAAGCAAAACTGAACATTTATGTGCTTTGCGTGACAACGTGGAGTCACTGAAAACTCATAATAAAAACCTACAGATCTTCTTTCTGACGTATGGCTGCAGTATGTCGTCCTTCCCATTTCAGTTTAGAATATGAACCTACTGATACAAACTAAGATACAAACGTCCACAGGGCAAACACCACTGGGTAATAAAACTGATTCTGTTTACGTCTCCCACTATCCGATCTAGTCTGTCCAGTTGGTTGGCTAACCGGAACAGGGGCTCATGGGACGGCCGGCTGCACCATCACCTTGTGTCCAAGCCTCTGCGGCTGCCAGTCGAGGCTCACTCAACAGAATTACTTATCATTCATTACCCCTGGCTCAGATCACCGCCGTCCGCTGTGGCAGGACATCATTACACATATTGCAGCCCCCCCCACCGTACCGCGGTGTTGCTGTGTGGATAAGCCCAGCCACGGTGACAGCAGCACAAAGTTGTGGGGGCTATAAGCTTGGGGGGGTACTTAAACGAGAAGGATTTATGAGAACATGGCGCCTGAAGGAAACTGACGTCAGCCTGGGACTGATGGATGCTGATACCACGACGACTTCGTGGCCACGGTTACAAACCAAACATCTATTTGCACTGACACAGACACTGAAAAGAGACAGAACCCAGAGAGCACCTATTGTGGAAAATGGACGGTTCTGACTCAGTGACTGCTAAAATAGCTGAACAGCCTTGTGTTAGGCCACAGCGGGCAACGCTGCAAATCAGTGCCCAGGGCTGCTGTAGGACTTTGGCGGCATCATCTAAGAGAGGACAGACGACAAGTGCTGCTCAAGGGGATTTGTCGGGTTTCTGTCTATAACACAGAGGTCTAGACCCGACTGTGTAAAAAGTGTCCTGAGACGATTGTTGTTGTGAACTTTAACTATAGAAATAAAACTGAATTGAATTTGTTTGATCTTCTATAGTTTATAACCGGCCATGGTCAGACACTCTCGGGCCTGTTTGGTCTGTTCAGTCATGTGATCACTTCCACCACCCTCTCCTGGTCCAACTGTTCCTCCTGTACTCATCAGTCCAGGGTCAGTCTGTCCGTCAGCGTCTCCAGGTTCACTGGGGCCACTGGGAACAGACCCAGCATCCTCTGGCTGTGTTTGAGCACAGCTCTGCCTCGTCACAGACACACACGTGAATTCTCACTCAGGGTCACAGGCTGATCTTGGACCTGCTGACTGGGGGCCGTGTGATGCTGCAAGACCAGAGATCCACTACTCGTGTCCTTGTTTGTCTGGTGGGAGGAAGACGCTTGAGGAGATGAAGACTTCCTCTATATAAAATGCCATGATTCAGTTTTTGTCTTATGATAACAATGTGTATTAGATTTAGTCTTTTGATTTCTGTTGGCAACAACCAACTGAGGACATTTTCATCTAGTTCTTGTCGGTGACATTAAGTCTCGTGTCTGTCGGCTATTTTTACTCTCTTATTAGCATTGTGAGGCTACAGTAACACAACTGTCGCAACTAATTACTACTGATGGGTATTAGAAGGATTTTTTAGGTTGAAAAATTTAAGCCATTTTAAGTAGATTATTCGATTAGTTGTGAAGTCATCACCGTGATGTCATCATGATCACATACCCTCAGCGCTATGCAACCAACCAGCATGTTTTGACTCATTGTGCTGGTAAAACCGCGGCGCTAACCAAAGCTTCATCCTGCACTCGACTTTGTCCCACTGAATAAAGTAATTCACTTTGCTGAATCTGCGGCTGCTCAGTGTGTAGCACGTGGGCAGAAACCGTGCCAAACACTGGCTCCACTTCTCTATGATGTAAACAATACATGTCTAAAAAACTTGGAATTTTTTTCCACAATATGCAACAATGTTGACCTTTTTTGACTAATGGAATAATCGATTATTCATCCACATATCTATTGATTACACAAAAGAAACTTTTGTCAAGATCACCATCTTCTGAGTTCTGTGTAAGAGGCTTGAACAGCTGGGCCTGACATTTTAATCACGGTTTACAGGATAAAATGATGAAACATGAATAAATATTTCATACATTGTTACTGTATATTTATCTTGCATCACTGAGCCACACACTGTGCTCCTACAGTGCTCGGTCCTGCAGAGACCAGGGCCCTGAAAACCTGTGTTCCCAGTCTGACTCTGGATGTTGTCAACTGGTCCAGGCCAAAGGTTGTTTTCTCATCAGTTAGGCTGGTGAATGAAATGCATTAGAACTGATGGGAAATAAAGGACAGAGGCCCCTGATTGGAAGGAAACGTCTTGGTCTGTGCAGAAAATGAACGGCAGCACTCACAGTTGGTGAGGTCAGGCGGGGCGAAGCTGTCGTTCACGAAGACGCTGTTGGGTTTTGCCACTTTCAAGTAGACCACGTCCGGGGTGTTTTTCAAGGCAGTGACGGCATGTTCGTGGCTCACCTCCTCCAGGCAAGCACTGTTCACCTGGGCACATCACAGCAACACAACTGAGCTTCTGTTCTGTCAGACAGCCAACGTGCTGAAGAGACGCTGCCAAAGGACTGAACAGGCTGACTTGTGTTTTGTGCTTACAGCCAACAGTTTGTCTCCAATCTGCAGCCTCCCGTCTTTGTGTGCGGCTCCTCCTTCGATGATCTTGGTAACGTAGATGCTGTTGTCTCCCGGGATGTGCTGGTTGCCCACTCCGCCTGCTATACTGAAGCCCAGACCTGCAACACACCGGGACCAGGACACAGAGTGATCGAATCAGCATGCTCTCTGCAGGGACACACAGTTACACTTTGCTCTGCCAGTTTAACATGAGCACAAATCAGGACGCATAAACGCACAAAAGCATATTTCAGGATGTTTCCGTGGAAACCAAGGCTTTGTTCTGGAGCCTGGCTTCTTGTCTGAATAATCACGATGCCCTGGGGGATTTCACTAAAGCTCCTCAGCAAGCAGAGACGATCCAGTATTTACACATCCACGCCATCTGTGTGGTGCCGTCTCCACCACGAGCGGCAGGACGGCACCACACAGATGGAACAATATTACTTTACACAGAAACGCAGTAACAGCTAATGGCTTCACAAAATCAAGTTACTCGATGAAGTAACTCATTACAATTACTAATAATAACATCAGTACAGTCTAGAGCTGACTTTGTAAAGTGTCCTGAGATGACCTTTGTTGTGACTTGGTGCTTTACAAATAAAACTGAGCTGAATTCAGAAACAGTACTGGGATTAGTAACTAATGGCAGTTCATATCTTCTGGACAAACATCATGTGTTTCTTAACACTGACACACACTTCCTGTTTGTTTTTATTAGCAGCTCCACTTCTGTGACATACAGCAGACAGTCGGATTCAAAACATTTTATCAAACAGCTACAACTAAACCAAGGTTCCTACAGCCACCTCAGCGCAGGACGTGACCGACGTCCAGCTTCGCGGCTTCAGCTCCATTTCCGGAGCTGCTGTTACCTTTGGGTCCTTTCACCAGTTTGAGCTCCATCACTTTCTCAGAGACGGTTTTCCTCCTGCGGACGTAGAGTCGCACCAGAGAGCCGGCCTCCTTTAGAGCCTCCACGGCTCGGCTGTGAGTCACATCCCGAACATCCACCTCGTTGACTCTCAGGATGACGTCGTTGACCCTGAATCACATCACACACACCACCATCAGCCAGATTCAGTCTGTCACATGACTTTATCTTAGATTTGTAAGATACCAAATAAACAGCTACCATGGCAACGTTTTGTTATTATTCCTGGTGTTTGTTTTGATTGGCTGCCTATTTTCATGTTTGAATTAAGCACAGGATTCAATCAGTGTATTTATGGTTTGATTATATTTGCACGTGTTTTATGTGTATGTTTTATGACTGAATCAAACCAAAGTGACCTAAACAGGAAGACTTTCATCTGTTAGTGTCACTTTTCCAGGTCTTATCCACAAACATTATCTGACCCAGTTTGTTCAGACTTCACTGATGAGGTTCATGTCAGACGCAGCCCGAGACGGGACTGCCCGCTGCTCTTCATCCTACATCATCATCGTCACCTGGATCAGGTGTGCCGGACTTTTAGTGCTGCATTATGAATGAAGCAGTGAAAGGCGGCGGACTCCGCTGGGGTTTCTGGGTAACAGACACCAGCTTTTACTGCAGATACATTAGACCTGGAATAACACACGGTCCTGTCAATTGGGATCAAACTGGGAACACTGTGGATATGTGTTATGCATCTCACCACAGTCTACAGAATGTTTCATTTTTTAAGTGTTTGATTCAACTTGTGTGTGATACTGTAGCTCGAGTCCAAACTGGGAGAATCTGGAGCAATCTTTATTGATTACTGATTACAGCTCATGCAGTTTGGGAACAGCTTTCAGAAGAAGACCGGCGCGACCTCTGTGTATGTGTGTCATCTCACCTGAGCCGTCCATCCTGGGCGGCAGCTCCTCCAGGTATGACTTTGGTGATGAATATACTGGGGTCCTCACCGATGTGGGGGTTGTCTGTACCGCCTGCGATGCTGAAGCCCAGCCCCGAATTTCCCTGCACACCATGAGTAAATGAAAGTGTAGGTGTTAAAGAATCAGTCTGGTACTGTTCTCAGAAAAACACCTCACAATATGAAGCTGCATTATTCAACTAGACCTGCAGGTCACCACACATGGCCATGCAACCAAAGGCGCAGCAACATTTGACAGACATCATCTCCAGTCCTACTCAGTCTGAATAATGTTCATGATGACATGCTCTAATAGAAAGGACGGAACCAGGAGAGCAGTTCCACTGCTGTCACAGTTTTTCTCATAAGGGCCTCGGTGCTGTACATATGAACGCACACAGCCTACAATCAGAGACAAAATATGCTAAAGTGTGGGTTCAACAAACAAATGCTGATATTCTCGTGCTTTCAGAGATGTGGCTAGCTGATGAAAATTCAATTGCACTTCAATGTATTTCGCTGCGACACGTCTACTAGAGGGCGAGGTGTGGCTGATTAGTCAAAATGCTTTCCAGTTACTCTTTTTAATTCTGTGTCTACAGTCCTCTGAATTTTTTGCCATAAATGCCATAAAAGTGGCCATTGTGGTCGGCCACTGGTTATTGGAATTTATCAGCCCCCTTCTGCAGAATCTGAGTCTATTACTAGCAGCTTCTGGGTCATCTGAACCAATTGGTTAACCTCTGCATCTCAATTAACTTGCTTACCAACAAGACTAGACCTGAAAAGTCTAGCCTTTTAGATATTATTTTAACCAACAGGCCTCAAAAATTTTAAATTAAGTGGAGTCTTTCCACCTGGTTTTAGCAATCACTGTCCTATAGCTTGTATCAGGAATGTAAAACAGGCTTCTTGTAGGCCTCAGTTGGCAGAGATGGTTTATATTTATGCTGCACTGATAATGATATGCATCTGAAAAAGCTCAGCTGAATTAGGACAAGGGAAAAAGGAGGAGAGATGCAATAAAGATTTTGCCACAGACAGATTATGGATTAAATCTCAGCTGCATTAAAAAGAAAATCACAAACAGCGGATCAATTGTGTCCTCATTTCCACTGATTCTCCCAAAATTCAGTCTGACACACTGTAAACTTGAAACTTTGGGAATAAAGCGGTGTAGGTTTTGACAAGAGAGCAGGTGCTCGTCAAGAGTTTCAGAGAACTAAAGTCAAAGTACATAAAAGAAGTAAGTCAATGTCAAATTAAGAGTATCTGCTGCCACGAGCGGGGCAGGGCGAGTACTCAGAGTTATGGACTGCGGTTGGTTTATGTGGCTCATAAAGACGTGCGAGCTTCTCTGCAGGTCCATCCACTAACAACATGGCTGTGAGTCAAGGAGAAATAAAAAGGACACTGCAAGGCGACTCACCCTCTCCAGTGTGATCTCCTCGTACTCGTAATCAGCCTCCGCCCCGTTCACCTGCACACACACAAGATCCATCAGTCAATTACCTGTCACGTCACTTTAATAAATCAACAGGTTAGTCATATTCTCAGCTGACAGCACAGACAACAACATTAGGGCTAGTGTATGTTTTTAACCTTCAGACTGGAGAAAAACTGGTCAAACAGTATGAACAGAGGGTTTCTGCAGCATGTAAGTCAAATGTCAAACATACTGTAAGACCTTATTAATACCACACAGATTATAACGGAATACGTTTCTCCCATACAGCAGCCAAAGCACGATGAAAACCAGCGGATAATACAGACTACTACTGTGCATTATTTATTATATCACATTTTACTTCCCAGCTTTTTATTATAGTAATTATTTCCAATTATAAAATTAATTAACACTGCGAACTGGACCTGGATGAGCAGCAGAACAGATGGATGGGTTTACTAATTATTACCTGTAGAGCATGATTAGAAAAATGTGTATAATCCGTAACTGGCTTCAGTCATCTTTCAAGCTAAATTTATTTGGTTGTATACAATGGTAACATTGAGGCCACATCTCGCCGACAGCAGCCAACATCTCGATCGCCACAGAGCCAGCCAGCGGCCGGACACCTGTTTAGTCTGCCACCAAATTAACTTAGAATAACTCCAGGAAGGAGATCAACAAGGACGGTAGGAGAGGAGCCCCGCCACAGGAAACACACAGCTTCATCTGTTTGCAGGTGAACAATCAGTATTTACACAGAGACACGTCTACTCATGAAACTGCACGGTCTTCAAGTCTAATGTCAACTCAACGATGTTTGTACTAAAAATAAGCATGTTTTCTAGACTCGGCTAGCTAATTAGCAGCCTAGCTGCTGGACTGTATAATGCAAAAGTATTGAATATACTGACATCATGCTAACAATTTAAATTAGCTAACTATGCTAACAGACCAGGTATCATAATCAAGTAATGTTAAACCTAATGAGGACATTGTCAGAGCAGTCTGTCTGCAAATCTTCACTTTAATCAATAATTTCACATCACTTTCATTTGTCTCTACAGTTCTACACCCGGGCTCCCAGATTTCACAGATTATAAAAACAAAGAAGCCAACCAGAGCTTCATAGGCAGGATGAATGATGGACACGTTAAATTTCTAGGCCAGGAAAATAAACAGTGTCTACAAGTGTAAGATGCTTGCAGACATATTTCTGCTCCTGACAACCTCAACCACAGCTTCTGGAAACGATGGGACAATCACATCAGTCACTGCGGACTTATAACACGATAAAACACTGAAAAATGCAATGAAACAAAATGGCAAAGCAATTTGGTTATTAGGTTAATGATCCAGGGTATGACTTCAACTGTGGTGTACAACCACTAAAATCAATATTTAACACAATAATTTCAAAGACAGGATGAGGAACATACATTTCCGTGAGGCGGGTTAATATGTGAACTCACGTATGGAGGTGCGTCCAGGCTGTCTGTGTTGACCACCACCGGGGGAGGATTGGCCTGAGGGGAGGAGACATCACAGCGTCAGAGAAAACATCTTCGCTGTAAAATATCCCCCCCACCACAAGACCTGAGCAACCTCCCACAAAGCCCTGCAAACACCAGACACGCTGAGCCAAGCCGTCCGCCGTGCAGCGCCAACATCACAAACCTACTCTCCTCATGACACCACAGACCAACTGAGGATCAAATCTGGAAGCCGGAGGATTTGAGCAGAGATTAGTGAGGACAGAACGGTACATACATGGTGGCATTTCACACTGCAGAAGATGCAGTGCTGGAGCATGAAGCCTGAAATCAATCAAATCAAGTCATGCAAGGTGGAAATTCTGCTCCTTCACCTCCTCTTCTTCTTCTTCTGGCTTTACACACAGTCTATGCCTCACTCACACATACTTTCTCTAAGTGTCTGCCTCGATCTCTCGCTCAGTTTTAACCTGGAAGGAGCCAGGTGGGCTCTTAAAAGTCAAATGGGGGAAGTGAGGCATTTTTCCCACCGTCTCTAACTCTAATCTGCTCACTTTATCAGAGCCACAGCTGGACGGCAGACATGGAACAACACTGTGCAGCAGCCAAATGAAAGGCCAGCTAAATTTAGAGATGGATTGAACAGAGAGAAAAGACAAGTGGAGGAAAATAAAACAAAAAAAAAAACCTGTGACATCGGTGGGATGACGGTGGTCTCAGCTGGGATTGGTGAGATTGGGATCACAGGGATTATGGGAGAGGAAGGTGGAGCGGCCTCGGCCTGCTGTATAATAGCATGGTGAGGGGTCAGAGGTCAGACAGACACAGAGTAGCACAGATGAACAGCAGCAGTGGGAGGAAGAGGGTGGATGCATGTGTGTGAGGACCGGCAGGTGGAGTGATCAGCACCTAACGCGACCACAGTGTCACAGCCAATCACAGGACAACATTGTGTGAGTGACACACTACAGTACCTGACACTGTTGTTTTTTTTTTTTTGTTTTGGAACCCTGAGTGTCAGCACAGGGCGCACAGTCGAAGGTGACAGGCAGTGGTCCGCTGTGCACACTACAGCATTGTGCCTGCTGCAGCTAAAGGTACCTCTTTGCCCATCTGTCAGTACTTTAGGTTAAAAAACAAAATAAAGAGCCAATGAAAGTTATGGAATATTTAGTGAAACAGATGAACAGGCAATGGCTCTTTATAACCACCTGTATGTATACAGAATGTGCTACATTTCCATCACTGATGTGAGAGTGACAGTTAAATGCTCCTATTTAACCAGCTACAACTGTAGTCATGTTCACAAGGCCCTTGTACGTGCATGATATTCCAGGGTTCCTTGTAAAAGGCTCTGAACGTCACAGGATTTTCCCTGGTTAAATAATAAAAATAAGATCCCACATCCTAAAGCCACATGCAAGCCGATAAGATCACATTTTGTTGGGTACAGACTCAGTGAGACAACCTGTGACGCCACTGTGAACAAACCTAATGAAATTAATCCAGACTACCTTTCCAAGCCCTTCCTTACACATAAAACCACAGTCACAAGAAGTGGGGCGGCCTTCGGCACTGTGACCCGTTATGCAAAAGCAGGACCTCGTGAAGCTGCTGGCAGAAGCACCACCCTGTTACAAAGAGGCCTATTTGTTGTGCTGCTGCAGCAGAAGCCGGGGCCCATGGAAAACCAGCAGCTGCTAAAATTAGCCTGGCACATCGACCACATTGATCCACCAGCTCTACTTCTGGACCGCCGCTAGAAAAGCCGCTGACAATGGGGCTTAATTGTTTCCAAAGACGACAAACTGATTTGACGGACGCAGTAACACACACAGAGGTCTGAGTTTACAGCTTCATTCAACAAGACTACTGGTCGGGAGCGAGCACTCCTGTGCAAGTGGGATCTCGGAGGTGGGGAGTTCACGGTGAAGAAGACCTTTGCCACCTGGGGTCATCCAGGGCTAGTGAGCCTGACCTGGCTCAGTCAATCAGCAGAATAATCAACAACAACAACTTGGATAAGTGACTAATTGTTTCAGTCTGTGATTGCAGCTCGTACAACTTTCTGCTCTTCTTTCACTAAATGATCAATTATTTAATACACAGATGCTCAACACTGGATATGTGATCATCTCAGCATCTACCAGTGTAAAAGTCAGATTACATTTTGCTGGTCGACAAATGGCTGTGCACGAAATAACATTTCTTTTAAAGAACAGTGAAATGAGTGCAGCAATAGCTCGTTAAAAATAAACCCAGTTTATAAATAACCACAAACATAATGTGTGGCGCCAGTGTAATATCAAAAGTTGTTTATTGCACTCAGGACTTTTCGAATCGGTCTGCAACTGTTTGCTCCAAACAGCCCCCTGTGTCTGATGAGCGTGACCCAAACACCACTTTTACCTTTTGTTTATTTTTCCTTTGTGGGAGTAACCTCCAGCGTTCTGTATTAGCAGACACCAGCGAGGCTGTGATTAACATATTAATCAACAGTGGAAGTAATTGGTAGCTGCAGCCCTACAATCAATCAATCAACAGCTGCCATGCAGCACTATCACACACACTAATGCAACTGAGAGTACGTGAGGAAACGCAGAAAACGGGAGGCATATAAATGGAGCTGCACTGACAAATGAGAAATGACATTCAGACAGGGTCTAGACGGCAGACGTCCTGACCACAGAGACACACGTGGACGTGTTAAACAGACACACTGTACTAACACAATCCCACTGAGCCGGACAAGAACTGAAACAAAACATAGTCCAAAACACATGGATGATGCCTGGAACTATCCCACCAGCGTTTGGTACTTGTCAACACTGATAGGCCCCTGAGTACTAACTCGGCAAGATGAATACTTGGCACTGCAAAACTGAGTATTTCTTGATACCAACTCAGTGATACAAATACTTGGGGATACGAACCTCAGTACTTTACTGTACAGACCTGCTGCTACAAGCTTCAGTACTTCCACACAGACTCCTTCCAGGAGTCCAGTTCCTTTAGATTGTGACTTGGTGCTAGGAACGTCAGGACTTTTTAAAACTACAGATGTATTCTTACTGTTTCTGGAACATTTCTCAATATTTTCTGACAATATATAATGAATATATATATCAAATAACCTGCTGCGTATCTGTAATATGGACGTTTCGGTCTGTACCAACCAAAAGATACAGTGTTCACTTCACCTCTATTCAGTCAACTTGGCTGTAGCAGTAAAATTCAGCTTTGTAAAACAAAGCAGTAGAAAATCTCTCCCAGTGTTGCTGATGTTGAAGTACCTTCAGGAAAGTGAAGGGCGCCCAGTGTATCTCCGGCCTGGTGGCTGCATGGCTGCTGCTGCTGATTTTAGCGGTGCTCTTGGTCGGGCTTTTCTTGACACTGTCCCGTAGGTTGAGGAATCTACTCCGAGCTCGGCAGGATGCCGGCAGGGTGCAGGCGGTGAATGTGGACAGAGACGCCTGGGCCTGCGGTCGATTCGGCTGCTGCTGCTGGCGGTGGAGCTCAATGGCGTGCTGCCTCTGGAGCGGGTGTAAGTGGGCTAGGGACTCCTGCAGGTTGATGCTGACTCTGGGCAGCTTCTTGTCTGTACCATTCATGGCCTTGGAGGTGAACTCCTGCCGGGGATAATGTGTACTCATCTTCCTGGAGGAGATTCCCGGGTGGAGCAGGTGGTGGTTAAATCATAAATGATGGATGGTGCCTTGAGAACTGGACAGGCTTGTGGCCAGTGCGATGGCAACAGCTCCAAACACAGTCCTGTTACTCAACACTGAAGCACTGTAACACCCCCTCCTGTCTTCTCTTCAGCTGCTCTTTCTCCGTCACTCCCTCCCTCTCGTCTTCTCTCATTCTGCTGCCAATTAACAGGCTCCTGTGAGCGAGGCACATGTCAGCACGAGGGGGGCGGCTCCACTCGCTGCATGAATAATCGATGCCGCCCCCGGATTCAGACATGGCGACGAGCGTGTCAGCGGTGTGGGGGGGATGAGATGAGGACTCCTGTTAGCAGAGGCAGGCAGGAAGCTGCAGCTTTCATTTGGATACTCTCTGCTGTGGCTTTAAGCTGGAGATAAAAGCCTGCCAGTTGTTACAGCGTTCAGGGATGAACCACGAGCCGCTGCTGATGCACTGGGGCTCAGTGCTGCGCACAGACTGCTGTGGTTCCAATGCTGAATGTGGAACAAGCAGAATTTCTTCCAAAGTGAAAAACAAAATGAAAGAAACGCCGGTGCCCAGAGGTAGAAGACATACAAGGTTAACTTGGGTCATGACAGGGTCCTGATGGATCTTTGTTCAGTCAAAGGCCCATACTCCAGCAGCAGCAATAGAAGAACTACGCCTAAACATATAAAGGCTTATATTTAAAAGATTACATAAAACAGGAGATATTTCATCAAAGAAAAGGTTCAATAAGACTCACTGTGTAGACAAGCAGGACTGCTCAGTCTGCTGCTGGATTCACTGCATCTTACAATGATTCTCCAAAACACAGGGTGTAGTGCTGTGCATCATTAAAGGCAAATAAATCTGAATTAGAGACTAAGAAGCAACTCTTACTGGAGCCCTTCAGCTCCATACATAAACCTTGACCTTGGAAACAGTATTAATACAAATCAAGAAACCAATCAAAAATAAAAATCGAGGCCCAGTTTCCAGCTTCTTCCACAGATTTCAGCCACATCTGATTGATGAGTTTGATTCGGTTGGATGGAGTTTAAACGGTCACAGTGTTAATTCAAGGCTCCACTGAGAAACAGCTGAAAACTCAAACTCAGCGTTTCTCCACCACAGTTAACTTTGTTTTAAAACTTTAAAATGTAAAAATTTGAAACAAATTATTATATTGTTAGAAATTTGATTTTTTTTCATACCCTGAAACAACAGGGCATGAATCCAGTATTGGATTTAGTATTCCAGCTGCACAACCTATGAATGGACAAATCATTCATACAACAACACCTGAGTGCTGACATGACAACGGGGCCGTGCAGTCGGAGAGAAGTCTGATTTCAAAAGTG